CTACTGAAGACAAAAGCACGAAGATAATACCAGAGAGGAATGGACCTTCTAAACTGAAGATTAGTAATCCAGTTAATTATTCCACAAATAACAAGATAGATATAGATTAATGATATTAAATTATAAGTACTGTATTGCAGCAAACTTTAAACAACTTCATAATGAGAAAAGCACAGTCAAAAAATCGCATGAAGCACCCGCTCCAGGGGGGGATGCGCAGCAACTCATTGAGGAGGCCCTAAAATGATTAGAAGACAAGAAAAACAGAAACTTAACTACCAGCATCACCAGTGAAAAGTTCACTGTAGGATTGTATACCATTAAACATGTACGCACATACATAAAGATACTCCCAGATGGTATATAAATATTCATATTTCACATGCCATCTAAAGAAGCAGAATAATTAGACTAAGCGACTAAAATCATTTGATAGAGTGGTGAAGAATGATAAATGGTTACATACTGAAGTAGCTGATGTGGTCAAGGACTTCAATCCTGCAGTACATGCATGAGCCTCAGGCAATGTTGAAAAATCACTGGCCTGCAATCTTCGGGTCACATCCATATATAGCCATTTCAACCATTCACCAACGAATCTGAAAGCATATGCAGAAGCTAGCAACGGGAAGAGCCTAGCTTGCTGAGTTTTGTAATCAATCACCTATAAAAAAACAAGTAGTAAAGAGTAAGACCCACAAGTAATAAAGATACAGATGTCAAAAAACCATCGGCACAAAAATAAAGGCATCACCAACTGAACCAGTGATCTTACAAACCTGACCAATGTGTTAGTGTAAAAGATCACTGGGAACTACATCAGCTTTCCCGTTATGATTATTAATTACTAATTACATAAAATGAGGACAGAATACATTAGTGGAAAGCAAGATTTCCCGGAACCTAGGCAATGAGATATTGAAATACATAGCCAATAAGGAGCAAGTTCATAAGGAAAAAGAATCAGGTCATGTTATAATTCAATCCAGTGAACCTATATTCATCACCATTGTTGTTGCTTAAGAAAATTCTGATGGACCTAAAATAAAAATATTTAACTATACTCCTTATGATGTGAACACCCGAACAACCTAACACTTTCGGAAAGTTCAAAGTCTGACCTGTGTTTCAAGACCTCCATTATGAGAGCCAAACTGTCTTCGAACAGCACTATATCTTGTAGCAATACAAACTGCTCGTGACAAAGCACAGGATGCATCAGACACAATTGACTGTCTCACATATACCATCGTACCATAAACTAATTGCCGTGGAACGTTAGATTGGACACATTTTCCTTCTCTTGTAACCTGTAAAACCCTGGTGGATTCAAAAAGTATCAAATTGTGCTCGACAAAAATATATATATATATATATATATATATACAACATATACATATATTAAAATTAAGCATTTTCAGGATTTGAATACCCGGGATTTAACAATTCCCAGGCAATCTTCTTCTTCTACAAACATATTGTAAGAGCAGGCACCAGAGCAATGCTCTCAAAAATATAAATTTTAAAATGAGCTGTTTCCACTTATCTGTCTACGATGGTTGATTCAAAGACAATAATGACAGATCGTTTAAAAAAAAATGAAAAGAAAAACCGCTAACCTCATCAACATTTGATTCCTTGGAATTCTTACATTATCAAATCTTAGAACCCCATTATCCATCGAGTTGTACGCCCCATTTCCAAATTTCATTCCAATATCACCAATAGTTATACCGGGAAGAGGTAAGTGATCATCCAAACTCCGCAGCTGGACAATGAAACCTACATATTGCATGCTTAGTTGATTATTAGAAATATAAATCTAACACCAAATATTTATCATTCAAATACGTTAGTTACCATGCACTCCTTGGTCTTGGCCATCAGTGATTAGACGGGCATAGACAACAGCATGTGTGGAAACTTTACCCAACCCACCAGGCCACCACTGCATAAAAATCAGGGGGAAAAGGAGTGATGACAAAATCTTATAACTGTCCAAAACACAGCATGTTAGACAAATAGCCTAAATAACCAGTGCCCATAGTGAACTAATGAAAAAATGGTGTGATATCTTTTCCTTGTTGTATCCATGAATGCATCCGGTAACATTATAAGATCATAGAATCTCAAATCATAACATTTCCTAAATGATAGATAAAAGCTCTCCTCAGTCATTATCCCGTTTACTCACTTTGCTAGAAGTCAGTGTGGGGCTATTAATCACAAACTCGTCTGTTTGAGGATCAAAGGTTGCAGTTGTTTCGAGCCCTTGAACATTGGATCCATGACCAAGTTCAGTTTGGGCATAGCAACCAATTATTTGCATCTTATAAGCCAAAGGCAACCATTTCTGTTGCTGCTCCTCGGTTCCTTGTCCCTTTATAGCTGGGATAAACATTCCCTGCAAGATAATATAATTACCTGAAACTTAGTAGAAGCAGTTGAAGTGGCCTCAAATGCACATCACGACAAGTGAAAAAGAGGTCAATTTATTTATGTGAAATCCTTAGACTAGCATCACCCCTTTGACCCACATATTCCTTTAAGGATAGATAGAGTACGTAAAAAAGGAATTCCAACAGGAAAACAACTTGAATTATACCCAATGAAGATCCGTAAATGCAGGTTCATCCACATAGAATCTAAGTCTAGAAGCTTCCTCTTCTGCAAGAATACAACTTTCATGGTTATAAAGCATGATATATAGAAATTGCAATGGGCAACGAATTGCCTTCCTTAGAAGAAAATTAAAAGCTTGGAAACCAAATGCAAACGACAAAAAGATCAACAGGCTCACCAGTGAGGCGAAGCTCAATTATCCTTTTCCATGCATGAGCTGCTTTCCTCAAAGTGTTCTTAAATAATTCTTTTCTGCCAAGCATGGGCCTATTGTCCTTTCTGAATATCTAGAGAGAACAGACAAGTAATCAAGGTTATAGGTACTTGCAGAAGTCAAAATAACGTCTATTACTATGCCTATTCGAAGAAGAAAACATGAATTAGTATCAAAATACTTTACATACTGGTGCTGTGCAGCAGTTTGTGATCCTTAACTAACTAATAGTTTAGTTCTCATTGGGAGACACATCCAACAGAAAGAAAGGCTAAAACACGTTGATTTGGAGGCACATTGAGTCTAATAGCTCAAAATCTTCAATTTAAACTTTCAGGAACCGGAGGTAACGAAATTACCGACCATCGAAAGCCAATATCAAATCGAGAATCAAATTTTCGTCTTTTAATAAAGCAAATTCTTTTTATTAAAAAAAATTCATAATTTGTCCAAGTATAGACACGTCGGAAATTTGTTCAAAAGAAAAGTAACAATTAACAGTGTAAAGGATAATCATTCACCGGATCGCTGGCAACAAGGCGAGCCATTCGATCAGAAACTTCAAAAGCTTCGCGGGAACCAGCCCAGACGATTTTCATCTCTTCGACATCGAATTGAGCTTTGTTCCTCTCGGGAGCCAAGTAATCAACACCTTCCATTCTCGGAAACGAAACGAACACAATGTCCAACGCTGGTCTTTTACAATCAAAACCCGAATTTTTTATACCAGCTTCGTTCAAGACCGACAGCGACACACTCGGCCTAATTTAATGTAGAAATTATATAAAATTCCTAGATCTGAATTTTGAACTGACACCTGTAAGGAGGACGGTGCGTCCTGGTGATAAATATTGATTGAAATTAATAATTATATTAATTGATTAATAAGTTGCCGTGCAGGGGTTTGGTGGGAAAGCACGAGTCTGGGGGGAAAGCTCGAGCCTTGATCTCCAACAAGGCTGCATTGGCGGCCTCTTCGCAGATCCGACCTTCTGTACGTTGTAATAATAGACAAATGGGAATGGATTTTCATTCGTTTCTTGTCTTTTCTTAAAGCTTCAACTTTAATTTATCTATCGGCTCTGTCGTGATTACGCGGATTTGGTTGTCGCTTTTGATTAAAAGGGTTCAAATTTTAATCTGTCTGGCCGTAGAAGCTTTATTTTGTATGAAGTGGAGAGAAGCTCCATGCCCTTTCACTCACTCGCCTTATTGCGCCCATAGTTTTGACCACAAGATACGACAAAAAGAAAAATAGTTTGCAATTTGTTAAAGATTATAACAGAGACTCTCATCGATGACCTATAGCTTTTCTTTTCCCCTTTCCCTCCGTGTTACCACGAATCTTAAATACTCCTCCGATCCTAATTATAAGACCTAATTGATTTATTGAGGAGATTAAGGAAGTAAGTTAAGTTGGTTATTTATAATAAATAGTGTTATCATTCCTAAAATATCCTTGTTAATTAAGTATATTGGCTAAAACTATCATTATTAGAAGGATTATCTTGGAAAAAAATGCATAAATATAAGAGACAAAATGGATTGGGGTCTTATAATTATGACCAAATAAAAAGTCAAATGGGGTCTTATAATAAAGACCGGAGGAGTATAAGATTAATTTGAGGTGCAAATTGACTGCAAAAGAATCTTATATTTAGAACTGAAAGCAGTATTATAAAAATTCAAATTTTTTACGCGATTTGTTTTTTGTCAAAACATGATCGTTTGTGACGGAATCAACAAAAAACTCCGCGACGTCACATCAGAACCCGGACAAGCGAAGGCGGAGGCGATGATGAGCTCTAGGTAGCTACGAAACATCACCCTCTAGAGAGGATAGAGAAAAGGCCGGGCACAAAACCCGTTCCCAAGATCGATTGATCGATTATTTCCATGCTTCATAGTTAAATAGTAGCGTTTATTCTCTCAAAAGCTTATTAGCCAAAAAATTCTCCCCAAAAAAGCTTACTTTCATTCGGTTCATTTTTTTGGGTCAAATTCAGTTTATTAATCTTAGGGCCAACCAGCCTCCACGAGTTAAACTTTAAGAGAGTTTGGATGCTTGATTAACTCGGGGTTTAGGAGAACAAAAAATTAGGATCTCTTCTTTCATTCCAAAGCTAGAAGGAAGGAAGAAAGGAGGAAAAAAAGAAACAACTACTTCGAAGGATGCCATACTGCAGAACCAACTTTTGACTCTTATGCTATAGGGAATAAATAAATAATAAGTAATTGATAACTTGACAAATAACAAGTTTTAGACCCAAACAATTCCTAGTTGCTACAGCCTACCAGAAAAGAAACAAGTTAATAATTAATGTGAAAAAGGAAGAGAACTATGCTGCTATCGCAACCAAATATACGTGGCTAACACAAGAGCTAAGTTCTGAACCCCGTATTTGTAGATAATCGTGACATTACTGAGCTAGCCTGAAGTTAACTCGCCAGAAGATTTCCTTAAACTGCAGGGATTGCATTGCCATTCATGTCTGAATTACCATATGAGGGAGTTACATGAAAAGCTGATTGCCGAGAGGGCCCCTTGAGGAGTTTTAATGAAAGAGAGGAAGGGCCAGAGTCACCGATAGAGTCCCCTAAACTGAGTTTTGACATGCCAACCAATTCATCAACATTGATGGGGCTTTTAGAATGTACTGCAGTAGGCTTCAGCACTTCATGTACTGTCTCCTTCTTGGTGGGCTCTGGACTGTATCCAGACCAATAAGGCAAAGGAAATGGGGAGAAAGGAGAAAAGTAAGCAGGATATATCACTGGGAATTGCGAGTATGACTGTGAGCTATCTGGCTTTAAAGAGGCAGAGTCTCCATCATTTGAATTATCGGAATCCATGGATTCACACTCTTCATCAATGGCTGGGGGAGCTGACAGGGGATCATTGCCTTCTGTTTCGGCCTCTGGCTGACAAGGCGGCAAGAAGTCTTGTTCTGCCATTGGTGTATCAGCAGTCTGCAACCAAAAAATGGCAACAAAATGTATATGAAATCTAGAAGAGAAAGCACCAAGGAATGAGGGTGAAACTTAATTATTTTAATCACGGATATTAATAATTTAATACAAGGAAAATACAATATTTATCTCCAAATTACCCAAAAATGTATGATTATATTAATAACAGAAACATGCATGATGAGAAAAGTGAGTCGATCTAAAGATATTATCAGCCCTTCAGCACAAGAAGATTGGAAACGAACAGTTTTAAAATATGACAATTGACTATCTATGTGCAGCACTTGCTTATCTTCTTCACCATAGAGTGTAGAAGGGGACTAACGTGTCAAGAGGAATTGAAAGCCCGGGGGGGGGGGGGGGGGGGTTCCAGATTTTCTTATGAATGGCCATCAAATAGGTTATGAGACATCATTTCCATCATGCATATATTAGGGTTTAAACATGGATACTAACTTCATCAGCAACAATGTCAAACAGACTTGAACGTCTTTTCCTCCTAGATACGTTGCTCTGCCTGATGAAATATTTCTGAGCATGGCTTGCTACTTGAGTTGGTGTCCTTGATATAACATAATTACGGGCAATTCCGCGCCAATCACCTTTGCCAAGCTTCTGCAATCCAAGTAAGAACAATCTATGCTCCTCCTCAGTCCAAGGAACACCTGCATAAAAGAAGCTACCAGATCAATCAAACAAAAATTCAATATGCACAATAAATCAATGGATTTCTGTTTCTTGTCTTTAGTATACAAAAAATTGACAGATCTACTGAAAATCATCATGAACAATGCCAGAGGATGGAGTTTACAAGAACCTTATTTTTTACAATTTTTTGGGGGAAGAAGAGGGGGCATATTGATAAAGACATTATCTGACTATGCAAATGCAAGCACATTAACAGTGAAAATTAAATTCACGCTCTACCCTAGCATTTATGTGGGTATCAGATGCCATTCACTAAATTTCAATCTACGTTTCCTAAATTACTGTTTAAAATCATCTCAGCATCTAAAGTGACCAATGGAAAAAATAGAAATTGAGGTTCATGAATTATTTTTTTCCATGGTCAGTGAGAACATAGCCTCCTCTTTGATGATGATAATCGGAACCTTTCATAACCACTAGCAGCTGCTGCCGACTGTCTAACATCCAATTTTGTTAAATTTTAGAAACCAAGCAGCTAAGCATGCTATACTAGCATTCTATGGATTCAAGCATCAGAAGACAATAACCTCAGAAATTTATTCAACTTCGTGGTCCAGTAATTTTCAATACTACCACCATAAAGAAGAAATTCCAAGTCACACATTGATATACTGTCAATCGACAGAGCAAGCAAAACTAAACATGTATCACGAAAGTAAATGCAGATAGAACTCAAAACACAAGATTATCAGTTGAAATATTCCTTTTCCATTACTTGATCGATGAGCTCAGAAGAAGCTAAGGACTTTAAAAGAATACTTTCGAACCAGAGTCCATCAACAAGACAAAAGAAAATGAAACAAATTGAGTGGGACAAAAACCAAAAAAAATGTTTATAGATTCGAATTCGAACCCTTCTTCCTCTCCCGGGAAACTGATGATGACCCAGGAACAAAATCCTCGGAGGCGTAACCGTCGGGTGCAGCACCATGATCAGGCGTGTCACCGGGCGAACCCGGATTGACGGACCCAGCATGATGAGCTCCGGAGCTCGACCCAGCATAGTGGCTGAGACTACTCAGACTTGCACTCTTCCGGATCGAGCCATCGGTCAATCGAACTCCAAAGAGCTTAACACCGCGGTGCGGGCAAGTCCTTGAGTTATGGCCATTGTGGCTGCAATGAGAACATCGCCGAGTCATATTGACGGCTTCTGATTCAGCCAAATTCCGATCAAACAGACTCACAAACTAGGCTTGAGCTTCAGAGTATCGGCAACAGGTGATCAAAAACACATGATCCGATACAGAAATGGAGAATGGGTTGGCACGGACAGAAATAGCGTTGTTGTTTTGTGGTGTATTAATTGTTTGTTGCTCTCTCTCTCGGTTTAGACAGGGAGAAACAGAGGCGGCGGATAATGTAACACTATCCATATATCTGTTTCTTGTACCTCATAGAAATGGGGAAATTATTCTATACTTCGCGACCGGATCAACCCATGGTCCTCGGAAGCACGAACCAATGGTCGGGTGGTGCGTGTTGACGTGGCTAACACTTCATACCTGCCGCAAGACGCGTCACCCCTGCGCTTTTTACGTAGGCTTATAATTTGGTCGTTTTAACTTTTTTTTTAAAAAATAAAAACCTCCAACTCATAAACCATGATCTCATTTAAAAACATCTTAAAATAATACTACCTCCTGTTCTGATTATAAAAATTAATTAACTAATTTACAAAGGTTAAAAAAATAAGTTAAGTTAATTATTTATAATAAGTATATATTGTCTTTCTTAAAATATCTTTGCTAATCAAGTATATTGATCAGAACTACTATTATTAAAAAAACTATCTTGAAAAAGAATACATAAATATAAGAGACAAAGTAAATCGGGGTCTTATATTTAGAATCAAAATAAAAATTAAACAAAATCTTATATTAAAGATCGGAGGTAATACTATTAATTTGAGTTATATAACTAATTTATAAATATTAAAAATATTATTTAAATTAATTATTTATAATAAATGAGTGTTATCTTTTTTTAAAATATTTTATAAATCATATAAATAACTATAAAAATTATTTTGACAAAAACAAATAAATATAAAAAATAAAATGAAGATAAAATTGGATATTAAACTAGGTCGGAGTAGTCAATATCACTTTGATCACGAAATCTCGCGAACTGAAGTTAATTTTAGTACGCATCATCAAACATTTGTGGAGTTTTTATACACGTTTTGAAATGAACACCGAGTTCTTATCTGGTCAACTTTGAACACCTCGTTTCTTCTGCGAACGGTGACTGTATTTGCTGACATGGCACTTTATTGCTGACTTTTGTTGGATTACAAGTCATCTCCCAAACCACAAGCCACCTCCAGTTGACCGTCATTCTCGCCAATTCTCGTTTCTTTATCTATTTGATAGAATCCCGTGCCCATATTTTTTGAAAATAACAAAAATAGAGCTTATTTATTAATTATTAATATTTGAAAAATATCGCCAATGGCCGGGAAAAATTGGAGCATGCAATAATCTAAATATCTATCGTGTCGGTAAAGTGAACTGCTTGTTTCGAGGCTGTTAATCATAGTATTATTCAGAGGCAAATCTCAAGCTTTCTTTTGTTTCTTTTTATTGGGATTTTTTTTTTTAAGTTTTTCCCCCTTTTTTGGTTATTCCTTTGGGGTTATAAAAAGAGGATCTCTCCTGACCACAAAAGTCACTGTAGTTTTATCTAAATAAAATGGGGAGATTTTTCCAGCTGCACCGAATTTAGAATTTTATAACGACTCATAAATAGTACAATATAATATTTTTTGCCAGAAAATAATACAATATGGTATTAAGTGTTAGCCATAGATAATTTATCCAAAGAAAGGGATAATATGGTTGATTTTTTTTATTATTATTATTATTAAGAGCGGTTGGGTGGTCAATGAAGGACAACAGGATAATGAGCCTCTCTCCCACCAAATAGAAAGGTAAGAAAGATAGAAGAAATTAAAGAAGGGAGACAGTCAGGCAGGAAAAAGGGAACGATGAAGACGACATCATCAAAAGCAAAAGGAAAAAAATATAATAATAAATATTGATAAAAGGTGTGAACGCATCAAGTCTAACTTTGAACATGTTTAGAAAGAACTCTACGTGCCACGTAAATTCCTCCAACTAAGGGGTTTTCTGTTAATATTTGTTATGAAAAATGTTAAGTATAAAAAACTAAAAATTATGTTACATTTTTTTTTTAAAATAGTAGATAATATTATATGCAAATGTATTTTCGTTTTTTATTTTGTCTCAACCTTTTCATAGTCAAAGCAACATTGAGCTTTTGTTGCCTTAATTTATGAAAGAAATACATTATTTTAGATAAATTTAATTATTTTTTTTGGTGATAGATAAATTTAATTATTAGTGTCATCTAAAAGAGTCATCTGAAAAAGGAAATATTTTTCCAACTAATTGGAAAGTAAAAGAAATACTCCCTCCGTTCCTTATTATAAGAGACAAATAACCAAATTACGTTGATAAAAAAACAGTTAAAATTAGTTGAGGACAATTAATATGTAAAAAGTATAGTATTTTTTTTCCAACAATGTCCCTATTAATAAGGAGAGAGAATATAAGAGAAAACAATTAAATTATTAAAAAAAAAGAAAGTGGGAGGGGGCGAGAGTATGAATTGGAGACAAAATAAATAGGGATGAAATAAGAAATTAATACAAAAAATAGAGACAACTTTTAAGTGTCTCTTATATATGGGAACATGTCATAAGCATCAAATGTCTCTTATAATAAGAAACGGAGGGAGTAATATCAATCAACTAGTTCGATTGAAAAATTGATTTCATTTTGTGATGGACGGATGAGTAGAATTTGGAGTCACCAAACCATATGGTCCAAGGAGACGCGGTTAGGATAAAAGGGTGTATTCTTGGATAGAGCGGCATAATGAAGACTATCTAACTTGACCCTGCCCCATGCAACACGTCATTATATCACAAATAGCTCTCCTAATTATTATTATCCATCACTCTTTATGCCTTTTCTTTTTATTTGATGAGAGGTTTCCTTTTTCAAAGGCCTGGAGCGTAAAAAGTTCCCACTTCCTACAATAACTAAGCTTATCAAAATTTGAATTTCTATTCTTCTCCTGATAAGATGAGGCTATTTACTGTCTCAACTAATAGCTTATTAGTTTATCACTTCTTATTCTTAGGCTCCATTATAGAGACCCAGAAAGAAAGTTGTAAAATAAAACAAGTAAAACAGTACACGAATTGAAAATAGAGGCAATAAAAAGATTGTTCCTATCTCGTTCATGTCTAATACAAAAAGAAAATTACAGTGAGGTTTAAGAAAAGAAAATAATTACCATCGAATTTTGTTAACAAGTGAACAATTGTCATTACATATCCTAAAACTTGTTATTGCAAGCTGTTATATTGTCATTAGAACCTTTTAATAATTATGTCCTCTTTTGAAGACTTCAAATCTTTCTATCAAAAACTCTCAACTATTTTTGTTTTGTGTTTTAATTGTAATTTTATTCCTTGAAGCGTATTCACTTGTTTTTCAAAAGTATACTCAGATAATTAAAAACGGATCACGAAGTAAAATCAACCACTCCGCCATGTTGCACACTGCCATTAGGTGTGCTGACAGTAAAATATGTGTTTGTTTCGCTGACGGAATTTAAAAAAAATGACAAAAGGAAATGAAAGCAAAACGTAGAAAAAGAAAAACACAAGATAACCAATCTTCTAAGGGGAAATTGAATTCCCCTCTGGGAAAAGCAAGTCGTCATTATAGAGGCAGCAAAGGCCTGATTTATAGTCAATTCAAGTTGGATCCATCATCATTGTACCCCCAGCTCATAGGTGCTCGAGAAACATTACATGATTTAAAAAAAAAAAAAAAAAAAAACCATGCATTGTCGAAAAGAGCAATTGCAAAGGACTTGAGAAGTCAGCCGACACTGTTTGCTGATCTCGCAGTAATCCGAAAAGGAATTTGCACCCTCTCCGAATCACCGTTGGTGAACCTCGTTCACCATCAATAGGCATTTGCTTATGAGCCCTCCAGACTATTGAAAGGGAAATCCCACCAAATATTGGGTTTTAATAAGCTGATTCGTTATCTGGCATCGCACATCAGTAAGGATTAACTGCAAAAAATATACAAGTCTGACGTCCAGAATCCAACAGCCGAGCAAGGGGGCACACACAATAGATGCCCAACCAGCATAGACAGATGTCGGAGTAAAAGTTACCACTCCAAAACATTAGCTTTGAATTTTGCTCGAAATATTATCAGTAGATCTACATTACTTTGATGAACGACATTGGAAAAGGGAAGGAAATGGACCTTCAAAATTAGTATTTCCTTCTCTGCATATTTAGTACACAACTATGATCCCTGTACTCGTAAACTTGAAAACTTCGACCTTCCAAAAAGGTACAACTCTCATCCTAAAACAGCTCTTTCAATAACAATATTACCGATTCATTTCTAGGTAATTCCCAGACTCATACCAAACGAGAGGCGTGGTTTCATCTCTTGGTAAATCTGCTACGTCTGCTTTTCCTAGTTAAACTTGCATGATAAGCTATCCCCATCGCTTTTTCTAGAATATTCTCTTCTTCCCCATCGTCAGTTTCTTCATCTGACCTCCACCTTGGTCCGCCATTGGTGTTCCTTTTTTCAATGGATAAGTTGCCTTCCATATGGCTGAAAGAACAAAATGCACAAAAAAATGCAGTCACTACATTTACTAAACCTTTTACGGGCAAATCTTACAAAGAATTAGAACAACACCCACAAGCAACTTAAAACATCATTAAAAAATTCTGGATCCCAACTCATCTAAGCTTTGTTTCTCAAATTTAAAAAGAAAAATAAGTGAACGAAAGCAGAATTAACAAGATCCTTACCTCCAAGAAACATCCATTGGATCATCAGAGGGAGCCCTGTTCCAGCTTCTATCGTCTCTATGTGATTGAACTTTTCTGCCGGATGTATTTCGCAGGTCATTTGCAAGCTCTGTAGAATCCTTTAAGGTAGTTCTGGTAACAGGATTGGCTGTAGCTTTCCAAGGGTACATAGGATTGCTGATTGCATTATGACCAAGAAACTGATTCCATTCATCTCCGGTTGAGATTTTATCCTGCATGTTGTCTTGGGAATGACTTGGTGGCGATCTGCTAACTCCCCTTACAGGTGAACCATTCATGGAATGGATCCTATGATTTCTTCGAGTCAAAGCATCGTATTTGAGATTTTTGCCCGTGTTACTTTGATATTTCGGCCTCCTCTCACTATTGGTAAATAACCATTCATGTGATGGAGAACCAAATCTACCGAGCTCAGGGCTGATACCGGAGACTTTTGATG